CTATCCAACCCTCTAGCTTATTTCTAACTGGGACCGCCGAGCGGTCTGTTTTATTCACACTAGTCAAACATTTAGCTAACGCGTGCCCACAAAGTGCATGCCCGCACACACTCCCTGAATTAACCATGCGTGCGCTCGCCATTTCCTGAATTCCGAGAGTCAGTCGCGACCGAGCGAAAAACACGCCGCTCTCTCAAATACCATCAAGTGTGCTCCCGCTGCGGGGTGCAAAAATGCGCACAATTACCCTTGTAAGGGTAATGGTGTCGACAGTTTTTCCGGACCCTATTAAGCGACGTCCCCGTCGCGTCGAACAATCAAAGGCTATAAGCACTCCAAATCCCATCTGCTGACGAGGTAGTAACCATTCCGACTAGCCGGCTCGACTCCGTTAGAGGCATCTTGTCAATCTACCCCAGTCACGACGTTCCACTGCCACGGTTTTAACCTGGGTCTCCCACATCTTGGCCTAGGAGTTAGGGTGTACTGTCATCCGTACTACAGCGTAATACCTGCTTCCAAGTAGTAGATTGGTAGCCCTCCTCCCTTCGTCGTAGACATCTGCCGGTTTATCGTTGGGTGTCCTAATGAGTCATCGTCCCGCATACGGGGTCATAACTCAGGACGCGGGCCCTAACCGAGACCTCTCTAAAAAACCAGGGCACCTTTAGTCCCCAAAATGGTAATTTTTACCATCTCAAATATTTCTCATAATAACTGTCCACCCTGGTGTCTACACAGGAGGTTTCAGGTCTCCATCTTGGCCCACCGCAGAATGGTCGATCACACCGTATCCACGGCTTATCACGCTGTTATATAGCGATGATGCCCTCGTTGGTTGCGCAACGATAGGCGTACTTACCAACTCTTAGACTCATTCAACCCCACTGACCCCCCCCCTAGCTATCCCTCTCCGGGCGGCCGACCCTTCAAGATTTAACCATTGGTGAGTCGTGGTCTCGCTGCCAAGTTGCGCCGGTCAGCGGCCCTCGCTGGGAGTTAGGTTCTATAGTTCCAACGATGCTAAGTATAGCCCCTTAGCTTGGCCTCACAAAATATGTCCCCCTAGACTAACCATTGTGGTCTGACAAATAGCTCTGGACAACCTCTAGATTCACATACCCTCCCAACCTCGGACCATGTGGGGGATAGTGTCTCTTTCTCTTTGTGTTCCAGCAACTTTCTCTCTTATCCACAAGGTCGTGCCCCCCCTTTACTTTGATCAGAACAGGCGGCGGTCACACGTCTTAGGGACACCTCACAAAAGTCTCCCATCATGATTGCCAGAAAATTTCCATCCATAATTCTCACAAAGATTTTGGTCTGCCCTCGCCAGACTTTCACTCATACATACAATTTCCTCATCATTATAGCAACTCATTTGAGTGCGCCCTCATAGTTCCACTCTTATATATATGTGGAGAACCTAACGGTCATTGAGTCTCCTTCTCTCGTTTTCTTATGAACCATACAAAAGACACAACTTTTAGTTGTGACCTCTCCATTTATCATCACTCAAATTCTTTTGAACTCAACACATAATCCCTTCTTCCAAACAAACGTGAGGTGCACTCTCTTTCACTGTACTTATGACTTTGTCTGTTCTAATGACAGATATGCTTAAGTACAGAGGAAAATAGTGCAGGTCAGGTCATTTCCACAACATTTATTCTCGTCACAATAATCATTCATATGGGCAAGTCAACAACTGAGAGTGAGCGTGACACACCACACAAAAAAGAAAAAAAATCTGAGATTCGCACAAATACACAGAACGCGGGGACCTTGCAAATAAGCAAAGGTTCCTGTTAATATCGAAAGGATCAAAATATCGTACAAAAGAAATAAAATATCGTACAAATTACCGGGGTATCGTACCAAGTGCCACAGTATCCAACCAAAGATCAAGGTACCTGAAAAAAGTCAAAATATCCGAGAAAGTCAAAAAACAAAAGAGAGTCAGAGTATCCACACCTCACATCACTCACACACTGTCCGACTCACCCTGCTCTGAAAGAGAAAGAATCATAAAATCACACAAAAGCACTACCTAGAAGCTAGAAACACTCCACACCACACTAAAAAAAGAGAAAGGAAAACCGAAGTAGTTACTGTCATACACAATACTATCCTATGTACACTAAGTCTGAAAGTCTATATGCGAAAGTAAACATCTTTGTAATGACTCAATTAACTGATGTACATGGGCGTGATCCAATCCTCCATGTGTTCTCCTATATACAGTCATCCATCAGTAGTGAGTCAGAGATGTTCTACACATGTCAGAATCTAGACTTTTTCGGACTCTATTCGTAAATCCTACTCCTGATCACTCATGTCCTCCTGCAGTTGCCTATACAACTGTGCCCGTATCCCATCACGAGTCTTCAGGATCAGGTTTCCATCTCCGTCCCTGCGCACGCCAGATGGATCCCATGAAAACAAACCATCGGCCTCATCCTTGAGGCTTTTGGAACAGGTTTTCTGTGGGTGCTTGCCTTTCTTGCAGTAGAAGCATCTTCCAAACTTCTTCTGCTCCATCTTATCAGCTGCATGGGAGGGTACAAATGAGGGGTTTGCTGTGGCCTCACTGGTGACCTCCTGCTGTGGGTGCTCTGGGGGAATGGGGCATGCTGCTCTGTCATCTGTTTGCGCCATCTGCTCACTCACTCGCTCCTCTGCCCCGGATCCAGTGGCCCAAGATCCCAGTGCATCCTCCAGACCTGCAACCAGAGGCATATCCTGAGGTGGTGGGGTCTTCTAAGAGACCTCCCGCTCCTCCCTCTCCTCAGCCTCCGCCATGGCCTGTCCCACACTCTCCTGAACCTTCTGTCGCCCCACAGTCTCCCCCTGAGTCATGGGAAGTGCAGCCTCATCCATCGCATCCTCTGCTGGTGGCCTCGCCTCATGTGCCAAGACTGTGGGCATCCTCCACTCAAACCCCCCAGTCTCTGACCCCGTCCCTGCTAGAGCCTCCTTAGGCTGTAACATCTCCTTATCTAGCAGGGGGATTTCCTCATCCTTCTGCTCGTTTGCCCTCTCTTCCACCTTCTGACACTTGAAGGCCTCCTCTGCAGGCTGCTTCCTGATCTTAAGCCCCTGGACCTCTGTCCAATCCACCACCGTAGTCGGCGTCTGTTGTACACATTTGGCCTCAAGATCCTCTATCCTTTTCTCCCACTTGGCTTCCTTTGCCTGAAAAATATTACGTTGTACCTGCAAGTAGGTCCTCAGGGTGTCATTGACTTTGTTGAGGGTCTGGTTGACCTGTCTGATGGCCTCGTTGCCTGCCCACGCCTTCTCCACCTCAGTCTTTATGGCTTCCATCTTCTTGTCCTGTCCCTCAAACTCCTTCTTGAGATCACCAATTTCTTTCTGCCAGTCCATTTTCTGCTCATGAGACGCCCGCGCCACCCTTGTCAACCTCTTCTCCATCTTTTCATCAGAAGTCTTGGCCGTCGCAAAGCCCTCCTTCATAAGGCCCTTCAGGCTAATCAAGTCTGTAGACACCAGCTTAACCCCCATCTCTTGATGCTGCTCCCTGGACCTCCCTGTTGCCTCCAACAACTTATCAAAGTTGTCCCAAGCCTCCGTGAAAAAAGGAGTCTCATCGTCTTGAGTGGGTGAGCCATTCCCCTCTCTGTCTTCTAGTACCACAGGCTGCTCTCCCTGCTCAACTTTCTCGTGCAGCTCCGCCATGTTCTTGAGTCTGATTTGGACTCTGATTTCTCTCTCTATTGCTGCTCTCTCTTCCTTGTCCTGTTCCTTCTCTCTCGCAGCCTGATCCTCATCCTGTCCCTGACCCTGTGTCCTATGAGACGTCTCTGGCTGCATGCCTGGCCTAGGAGTGGCCTCAGGTATCTGAGCAGGTTGAGGAGGTACATCTGATCCCTCTGAATGCCTTCAATGATGATGAACGGGGCCGTCTAGACGTGGATAAAATCCCGATGATTAGGATACATACCGTTCCCCACGAGCCATGGAATTTGCGAGGCGCGCGGTACCCTAATCCGGCTGATGAAGAAAAGGTAGTTAGCTACCTTGACGGAAAAATCCGCACACATATGTCCGACTACTCGAGCGGACCGTATGCATCCCCTTGGTTTTGTTTCGTCAAACCAAACGGGACCTTGAGGTGGGTACAGGATTTGGAGCGCCTGAATGCTGTAACTATGAGAGATGCAGATAGTCTCCCTAACGCAGATGCGCTTTCAGAGGCATGCGCTGGGAGAGCCATCATATCTCTCATAGACTTATATTCTGGTTACGACCAGTTTCCTGTTTACCCCTCTGATAGACCGATGACGACAATGCATACCCCTCGAGGGTTAATTCATATGAACATCGCACCGCGAGGGTGGACAAATGCAGTCGCCATGGTCCAGAGGCACATGGTGAGGGCAATGTAGTCAGTAAGCCCTCACATTACTCAGCCTTACATTGATGATTTAGCCGTAAAAGGGCCTAAAGAGAAGAACGAGCAGGAGGTAATGTCACGGATTAGACGCTTTGTTTGGAACCATGTGCAAGACCTGTGCAGGGTCCTAGACCAGCTAAAGGAGCATAACCTCACTGCAAGTGGGTCTAAATCGAGACACTGCATGAGCGGGGCCACCATCTTGGGGTTTGTGTGTGACGAGAGGGGTCGTCCACCAGACACTAAGAAACCCAATAAGATTCTCGAATGGCCAACCCCATTCAAGACTATTATGGAGGTGAGAAATTCTCGAATGGCCAACCCCATTCAAGACTATTATGGAGGTGAGAAGTTTCCTCGGGACATGTGGGTTCTGGAGGATCTTCATAAAAGGGTTTGCGGCAAAGACGGAACAACTTCGAAAGCTCGTGCGCCAAGGACAAGACTGGGAATGGGGAGATAAGCAGGAGTTGGTAATAAAGGGCCTAAGGAAGGAATTTGAATAAGGGGGTCTAGTACTGGGAGTACCAGACCACTCGACAGTAATGACACGACCTTTTATTGTAGAAACTGATGCAGGGTCAACTGCACTACGAGGTGTGTTGATTCGGCAAGACCTTAACGGAGAAGAGCGGCCACTAAGGTTTGAAAGTCCCACACTAAACATAACTGAGAGAAATTACTCTCAGTTTAAGCGCGAGACTTGGCGGTTCTCCATTGCTTAAGGATCTTTAGAAACTACCTCTTCGGCAGCAGGTTCGTGTTGAGGGTGGACCCAACTGCTCTAGCCAGTTCTCTCAAGAATTTTGCCCCATCAGACCCGACTATCGCCAGGTGGTTAACATACATCTGGATGTTCGATTTTGAATTAGAGCGAATTCCAGGAAATAAGAATAGAGCAGACGGATTGAGTTGAGTCGACTGGGACAAAAAAAATCAAGGAGTGATCGAGGATACTCCGTCAGTCGACGGGTTTCTGGAAAGTGAGGAGGATGTGAGACTTCACATCAACTCCTGGTCGATGGTCGTGGGTAACTACGTTACTCCTGGACAACCTGTGTGGCTCGCGCCTCCAGGACATGTACGACGATCAGATCTAGTTCTTAAGCCCTACATTGAGGAAGACTCATGGGGAATGCCAAACGTGCAGTGGATGATGAATCTGGTCGTAACAGACAAATACCAGTTGCACGAAGACCTACTCACGATGGAAAATGGGGCGCAACAGGTGGAAGGGCACGAGAGGTCGATAGGTGGGATATACTTCTTGGCCAATGCTCTACTTCAAGACGAGGTGGCGCCGTTGTTGGGGATCTCGGCTGCCTACCGGGGTCCATAGTGAACGAACCCAGGTTAACAGCAGGCTGATGATTCAGGCAAAACGACAACCCTTGATGAAGAAGTTTGATGATGATATGAGTATTGTGCTATCTTCGATGGCTTAACAAAATTTATTTTTGATTGCGAGTAAGGTTGAGAGTGTGCTTTGTGTGTATTCGTTCCAAATAATAGAGTCGGAAATACGATATAAAGGCCGGATAGACTACCTTAGTTATTAAAAGTCTGTTCGATTGAATAATGGAACTAGAGAGTTTAGAGGTTTGACGGCAAGATGTTTGTCGAAATTGTTTTTTTTGCAACAGGTTTTGAGAAAGGACAAAGATGCCGGACTCCGATGGAATCGAGCAGGGCCCGGGTGCTACACCGGAGGACTTCGTCAAGGCTTTGGAAAAGAGAGAGATGGCACGGCTTCAGGTGCCCAAGGTTAACATCTTCCAGTTCAATGGGGATAGGATGTTGAGTGGCTTGAGCTGTTGGAGCAGGTCACTTGCGAGGCATCAGAGGCAGACAAATTCAAGTTGACGCCTAGGTACGTATGGTGGGAGCTTAGACCTGAGGTAATGAAAGTAGCGGCCGACGCAAATGGTGAGTAAGCAAGGTTTAAAGAAGAGATGCAGAGGCGTTTCAAGTTAGGGGACGTCCTGCTCACAAAAGAAGACGTGGAAATGTGGAGACGGGACGAGTTTTCCACGGTAGGGGCCTTTGCCACAGCATTTGAGAAGATGGCAAAGAAAGTCCCAGGGCTGGCAGAAGAAGAACAGTGTGCCACTTTCCTGGGGCACTTCAAGAATTGGGAAGCCTCGTCACTAACCAAGAAAACTGCGCCAGGAAAAAACCTTACTTGGGGTGCCATAAAAAAAGGCGTGCTAGAGGGAGAGTTGGACCAGGTAGACATCTTCCAGATGAAACAGGCTAGGAAGAAAAGGAAGACTTCGGATACTATCGCTAGTGATAGGGGCAACTTCAAGCTAATGATAGAAGAGGCTGTGGCCCAGCACGATGCAGAAAAGGAGGCAAGAAAGAAGGCTATGGCGGCGCCACAAGCCCAAGGGAAAGGAAAGAAGGTGGCAGTGCTAGAGGAGGAGGAAGAAGAAGAAGATGAACCTGAACCACAAAAGTTGACAAAGGCTCAAAGGAAGGCAAGGAACACAACTCAAGGAGGGCAAGGCTCAGGAAAAGGTCAAGCCCCGCAGGCTGTGGCGATGCCACCCCTAGAGTCGTCCGGTCAAGCCGCACCAGCGCCCTATGGGTCATGGCCAGGTTGTGGACCTCCCAATCATTGGCATGGGCATTGTTCATATGCACCATGGCCAACGGGCGGGCCGCATGAATCATGTGCTGGAGCGCCGATGGGTACTGCTTCCTGTGGACGGCCGGGACCCCAGTCTCAACAGGTGAGTCACTTGAACCCACCGCCAAGCCAACCTCAGCAGTCGGCCCCACAAGGATCACAAGGGAATCAAGGTGGTGGACGAGGACAAAATCAAGGATGGGGCCGAGGGCGAGGAAATGGTGGTCGCGGGGGATATGGGAGAGGAAACGCGAATAGTAACTCCCAGAGAGGAGGAAGTGACAGGTGGAACGGTGCGGGGAATCAGAGTGACCAGCAAGGCGGTGGAGGATATGGAAGAGGAAGGATAAATTGGAGAAATGCCATCTGTTGGCATTGTGGCTAGAAGAGTCACACAATTAAGTTATGTCAGGTCCGGAAGAGTGATGAAAAGGATGGCCTGATGAGTTCAAGCTATGATGGTGATTTTTTCGACATGTACGGTAAGTGCATAGACCCGAGAATCCCAGGGGGTATAAGGGAAGAAGCTCTGCGGCGTGCTAATGCCCCAGCTCCACCAGCCCCCCCGGCCGCTTTCCGTATGTGGTAGGAAGTAGAAGATCATCAGGGCGTGAGGATAGAGAAGATAAGCGAAAGTGAAGAGGTTGAGCAGAGATTGAAGGCCGGCACCATAAAGGAGGGTCCCCGTGCGGGACCGATGCGCTCGACAGCGCGACTCGTCGTCGGTCGACTAGGACGCATCCTACTCACCACGCGTTACGTTATGCTTTAAAACATAAAATTAAAAATACACTCAAACAAACATAAGAAAACACTCTTATTCCCTTCAGTATCCTACGCATAACCTTCCAATGCAGAAATCGGTTAAGCGACACGTGCGAGACTTAGTATAAAACTGCACGACGCAGGGTCTTCTCATGTCGACTAGCAATGCAAGCATACGTAAGCAGTCGCAATGACGACGTACCATGTAGTACTCATAATCACGCGGTCCTCGATAGGTTCGAGAGTCGCGTTCGACACCCAAGTGTCGGTTGACACGCACCTTGAGGGGTTAATCTCTCGACGCTAGACAACCGCAAAGGCGGTTGAGAATCCCAACTTCTTATGGGCCTTGCGGAGAGTGGGTGGTACACTGGTTCATACCTGTGCAGGTTCATACATGTGGTGTCAGTCGTCTCTCGAGGCTTTGGAAGCAAGTTCCATCATCCAGGGTCTGGAGAGAGATCAAGGGGTTTAAACTTTAACGGCTGCCACAAACTCCAACGTCCAGCTATATTAATTATAAAAAACAGAAGGGTAAAAGAGAATCTCCCTAGACATAATTCGTTTAACCCTTACGCACTGTCACAGCAGGTCGCGTGGACACTCAAGACATATGTATATATATATAAATAAAGGAGGATAAATATGAGACGACCACTTCTTACAATCATAGTGAGACTCCTTTCAACCATATATGTATGTAATCGCCGACAGTCATATCATGAGTCCGAACCACAAACATATTTGCAATCACATCAAAGATTCAACCAAAGTCCATACACTACACGAGGTCAACTTCAACCATTCTCTACACTCACACCCCTCAATTTAGCCATACAAACTCCAACCTTTGTCCAACCTTCCATAAATAAAGCACTCAATATCTTTGTTAAATGGTCATTCAATAAAGTCCGGTGAAAACCCAACAAAACAATTCAAACCACAGGGTTACGTTGGCGAGAGTGAATTGGAGTTGAATTGTAAACCGACGAATCGACAACCAACATATTATCAGTGATATCAGAAGATGATCCCCATGGGATCAAGTTGAATCTAGTCCAATCCCGAATCGAATAAATCAAGAGGACCTGTAACATAAGACAG